ACTCAAATTTAAGACTAATTTTTAAAATAATCTTAATAAAATTTCTCTGTGTGCTCTACTTCCTTTTAAGAGATAACCTAGCTTTGTGCCAGATACTACTACAGACCTCGCACTCACTAAGCAACAGATTCTTGGGTCTGGGAGACTTGGGCTTAGATCTTGCTCTGTCACTTTTAATCTGTGTAACTTTGAGCCACTTCATCTCCCTGAAGCCTGCATTTCTTATTTGTAAAATGAGAATACCATCACCTACATCAAAGAATTAAATGGGACACTATCATATGATTTAGGAAATACCCAGTGCACTGCCTAGCACGTAGTAATTGCTCTATAAAAGGTAGCAAGTATTCTTTTTACTGTGACCACTGTTTACTGTAATTTTTTTAAGAGACAAGGTCTCATTCAGTAGCAGGGACCACACACCTGCACCACCATGCCTGCCTATGCTGCCCAGGCTGGTCTCAAACTCTTGGGCTCCAGTGATCCTCCCACCTCAGTCACTAGGATTAAGGAGTGAGCACTGGTTCCAGCTTGTTTTTTGTGATCTTTTTAACTTCATCATTAATCTTTTCCCCGGCCTTGAAAACCCCTCAGAAATTATTTCTTGGAGTACTATCTAATGGGATCACTCTATGGGCAGGCCGTGGGAATACACAGAGCCGCCATGAGAAGGGCAGACACAAATGATAGTTACAAGTGCTATACAATTAGGAATTGTGCCATGCCAGCACATGACAGGGATAGCTATTTCAAGGAAGCCTTGAAGAAATGTTATTTAAACAGAGACCTGAAACACAAAAAGAAATTAGCCTGGCTAAAAAGACTAAAGTGGGCAATGGAATACTTTTTAAGAGATGGGATCTTAGTACGTTGCCCAGGCTCATCTCAAACTCCTGGATTCAAGTGATTCTCCTGCCTCAGCTGCCCAAAGTCCTGGGATTACAGGCATGCACCACCATGCCCATCCCCTAATGGTACATTTAAAGTTCCAGAGGCAAAAGAGAATAGGGCAACTTCAAGTAACCGGAAGATGTCTAATATAATTAGAACAGAAAGAGCAGGAGCTCTGGAGAGGCTGGCTGGGCCACATTCTCAGGGCCAAGTTAACCAAGTTAAGACTAAGACTTTAAGGGCAAAGAAGCTACTGAAGGGGTTTTATGGAATTCTGCAATTTTAAACAACTGCTGAATGTAGTAACAAGAATAGATATGAGAGGATTAAGACCGAGACCAGTTGGAAGGTCTTGCTTAATTCCAAGTGTCAGGTGAAAAGAGCCCATATGATGGCAGTATTAGTGGCACTGGAGAGAAACAGAACCTATTCAAGATGCTTTCATTTAGGAAGAACTAATAAGATGTGGTCATAGGTTGTTTTTGGGAGGGCTATTTTGGAAAGTCAATCACAAAAAATGAGAATATAATCATAAAATGTATTTTTGTTTCAAGATATAAATTTAAAACACAACCTACCACATATCCCTATACACGAGAATTAAAAAAAATTAAGGCCACAGGAGGATTTATTCTAATCCCTTGGGAGGCATGACGCACAAGGCTAACTCACTGAGCAACAGGGCTTTTGAAACCACTTTGGTATGTTCATAAGAGTTCTGCAGTACAGATAATTTGTTTTTCTTTTTTAGAGACAAGGTCTCACTCTGTCATGTAGCCTGGAGTACCAAGGTCTGATTATCACTCACAACACCTTGAACTCCTGTGCTCAAGCGATTCTCCTGCCTCAGCCTCCCAAATAGCTGGATATTCATTCAGACAAGCACCACCATGCTCAGCTATTTTAAAAACTTTCTGTAGCGGCTCGGCACCTGTGGCTCAATCGGCTAAGGCGCCAGCCACATACACCTAAGGTGGCGGGTTCGAATCCCCAGCCCGGGCTGCCAAGCAACAATGATGGCTGCAACCAAAAAATGGCCAGGCGTTGTGGCGGGCGCCCATGGTCCCAGCTACTTGGGAGGCGGAGGCAGGAGACTCGCTTGAGCCCAGGAGTTGGAGGTTGCTGTGAGCTGTGAGGCCATGGCACTCTACCCAGGGGGATAGCTTGAGGCTCTGTCTCAAAAAAAAAAAAAAAAAAAAAAACTTTCTGTAGCGATGGGGTCTCACTATTTTGACCGGGCTGATCTTGAAGTTCTAGCTCAAATGATACTCCTGCCTCCACCTGCCAAAGTTCTGGGATTACAGATGTGAGCCATAGCACCTGGTCTCCAGATCATTGAGCCATAGCACCTGGTCTCCAGATCATTTATCTTTCAACCACCCAATGAGTTTTAGTAGGTAATAAATGGTTTGAGGGCGGTGCCTGTGGCTCAAGGAGTAGGGCGCCAGGCCCATATGCTGGAGGTGGCAGGTTCAAAGCCCAGCCCGGGCCAAAAAACTGCAAAAAAAAAAAAAAAAAGTTTGAAAGTAGAGAAGGAAGGAGTAGCAATAGAAGAATTCCTTTTCCTAGAGGCATCTTTTGGGTCTTAAAGGAAAAAAATAATTTTCTACTTCTCTCTTCCAGGTTTTTCACATCTCTAAAATTGAAGCAGGAGGATTTATGAGCAAACCAAAGTATATGGAAAGTAAATCCTGGTTTTCTCATTACCCTCATAAATGAGCTGTTATGAAAAACATTTCACAATTAACTCCCGCCTCTTTTTTTTTTTTTCTTTTGAGACAGAGTCTCATTCTGTTGCCTTAGGCTAGAGTGCCACGGTGTCGGAGCTCATAGCAAGCTGAAACTCCAGGGCTCAAATGATGCTCTTGCCTCAGTTTCCTGAGTAGCAAGGACTACAGGTGCCTACCACAATGCCCAGCTAATTTTCCTTTTAGTGGAGACAGGGCCTCACTCTTGCTCAGGCTGGTCCTGAACTCCTGAGTCTTGGCTTCTCAGAGTGCTAGGATTATAGGCATGAGCCACCGCACCTGCCCAATTCCCTCCCTTCTTAAACCAATTACACCAAATATGCTTTATCCTGTACTGATGACCCAGGGTATGTGTTCCAGCCTTAAGGTACCAAACCCTTTTGCTTCTATATGCTAAACCCTTCACCTGTTAGGCCCTACCTTAATTATTCTTTTCAGTTTAAGAGTCATGTTTCCAGAAAGCTGTCCCTGACCACCCCAGTCATCTTTTGTCCTCTCAATTCCCAAAGCCCTTAAACATGCCTCTATTTTACCTGAAACACAGTGAATTATAATTCTGGCTTACTTTTCTATCTTTTTCTTTGGATTGTCCACTTCTTTAAAGTTAAATACTAAGACTTTCAATTCTGCATTCTTAAATGTTGAGCACGCTGACACAGAGGCAGATCTTTATTCTCAAGGTTTACTGACTTGCATTCTTCTTACATAAATGACTTTACATCAACACAGCTTGGGAGCTGCATTCACCTTTAATACTTTCTCTGACTTTTTTTTTTTTTGAGACAGAGCCTCAAGCTAGCCCCTGGGTAGAGTGCCGTGGCTTCACAGCTCACAGCAACCTCCAACTCCTGGGCTCAAGCAAGTCTCCTGCCTCAGCCTCTCAAGTAGCTGGGACCACAGGCGCCCGCTACAATGCCCAGCTATTTTTTGGTTGCAGCCGTCATTGTTGTTTGGCGGTAGGGGCTGGATTTGAACCTGCCACCTTAGGTGTATGTGGCTGGTACCTTAGCCACTTGAACCACAGGCGCCGAGCCCTTTCTCTGACTTCTTATAGAATAGCTGACCTTGCAGAGTATATTCCTCTAGCATGATGAATAGTGAATGAGGGCAGGTGGGCTGTGTTTTGGAAAAACATATTTAGGCTGAGCACAGTGGCTCGTGACAATAATCCTACCACTCTGTGAGGCCAAGACAAGTGGATTGCTTGAGCTCAGGAGTTCAAGACCAGCCTGAGCAAGAGTTGAGACTCCATCCCTACAAACAGGAAAACTAGCCAGGTGTTGTGGCTGGTGCTTGAAGTCCCAGCTACTCCAGTGACTGAGGCAAGAGGATCACTAGACCCCAAGAGTTTGAGGTTGCTGTGAGCTATGATGCCATGACACTCAACCCCAGGATGACTGAGTGAGGCTCTGTTAAAAAAAAAAAAAAAAAAACCAAAAAAAGGAAAAAAGAAAAGTGTATTTAAATAAACTATTCTATATAAATGGAAGAAAATAAACTTTTTGTTTTTGCACAAAAATTACAGAAAATAAAGCTTGTCAATAAGTTGGCTGCAGGAATATGAGTTTTAAAAGACTAAGAAACAGCATTTCACACCTGTTTTTTTACTCTATGCGATTACTAATTCGACAGAATTGAAATCTGTTGCACCTGTGTGCACAGTGAGAGTAAAATAGCTCAAAACAAATGAAAGGAAGCTTTCCGTAAGCCAAGTGTTTGAGCTTTGTGTTGCAGACTTCTCCAGGCAAATAAGAGCATTCTTCATCTAGCCGTGGCTCAAGCAATATCTATACTCCTAAAGTGGAACGCGTTAACACTTCCTCTCTGCCCAGCTAAACGCTATGGAGAGTTCAACATTCAAATTCTCCCAACATTAAACCATGAACTCAGGAGCCTATATGACAGAGTATTTAATAAGTGATTAAGTTCTATCGGATATTTTCTTCTCTTTGCTTCTATCAAACCAAAATCTCCATAACGGTAGGTAGACAAACTACTCAAATGCCAATCAAGTAGAACGAGGCTGGTAAAAACCTATTATAACACTCACGTGGAGGCTGAGAAACAAGTCCAAGCCTAGTTCCTAGTGCCCAAATTAGTAGGTAAAGAAATGTGTCAGAGCTATTCTCTCGTCTGGCCAAATGAACCCGCCAAGGAGTGAAAAAGACCTCTTGGCAGACGTGGGAAGGTGGGCAGGAGAGGAAATTCACACCTCAACAACAAAAGCAGCTTTCCCCACTACTTCCCATTTTCCTAACTGCCACCGCTCCTGTGCGACGGTTCCCTGGCAAAAGTGGAAACGAAGAGGTATAAAAGGAAATGGCATTACCTTTGCCCCAACACCTAGGAGCAAAGACTCACCAGTTTCATATTTGACTTTTGGTTGCTCAAAAACAGTCACTGAACTCCACACACTCGAGAAGCGTCTTCCGGTTCAATCTCCGCCACCTGCCCGCCAAGAGCATCGCGGGACTTGCAGTCTTCGGTCCTCACGCCCCTTCCCGAGGAACCAAGGGAAATATAGTCTCCCCTCCAGGCATCATGGGAACTGTGGTCGTCTTTCCTTTTTCTCCCTTTCCTTTCTGGACGCCTCCTTCCGTCAACTCAAATTCATCCCCGCCGCCAATTCATCCTCCCTCTTCACCCCAGCATGATATCATGTCCCCTGTATGGGCCTGGGATCTACGGTATTCTGGGATGTGTAGTCCCGACGGCTCCAAGTCCCCGGTCCCCTCCTCCCAGTGGGAAGGCGGACGGGCGCGCGGCCTGCCGGGAATCGTAGTTCCCTGGGGCCTCCAGGCGCCGGGCTCACGCTTTTACTCAGGGGAGGCAGGAACTACAAGTCCCAGGGACGCCCGGCTGCAGCAGGTGGGAGCGGGGCTGTTGATATCAATATGGCGGTTGTCAGCCAGACAAAGACAGTCAGTCTGATGTGATTGAGACAAGGGAGGTTTTCAGGGGGAGACTGGGAGATAGGGGCCACCCCTCCCCCTTCTCCTCTTCCTGCGCCGGCCTCCACCCCTCCCCTGCCCCCTCCCGACGGGCGCCCCACGCGGAAGACACCCCTCCCCCTCCCGCCTTCCCTCCTCCCTCCCTCAGCCCTTCGTACTGGGACGTTGGGGAGGGGGCTGTGCCGGGCGGAGAGAACTCAGCCAGGATTCTGAGGTGAGTCGAACCGTTTTGAAGCCAGACTGACTCAAGTCTCTTTCCTCACTTCTTTCTCTTCACTTTAAGAACATTTTTTTGGAGGATTTGGGGGGAGGAAGTGGTCGGGCACTGGGGATGGGTCTCTAAAGCAGCCCCATTGAGAGAAGGGAGGAAGCAGTGGGCTTCCGAGGGGGTGACCCGGGCGCGGGGCGTGGGGTGGGGCAGTTTGTGGGGGACGGTAATTGAAAGGCGTCGAGTGCTCCCCAACTCTTTTCTCCTGGTTTCCTCTGCTGTGGGCAGAGGGTTTGAATTCTGGAGGTGGGGGTCTCCTGTTGGGAGTTTGGAGAACTGTGAGGCGATTTCGAGGTGTCTTGGTTTGTCTGGGGGGCAGGACTGGGTTTCAAACTGTGTGACGTGTACTTGGGCGCTATGCTCGTCTCCAAGAAACGTCTACAGATAGGAAGTTAGATAGCTGGAGTCGTCGCTTCTGCAGGGCCTGGACTGAGAGCGTGCGTGAGGTCCTGGTGCTGGACGTTTGGGCTGGCGACGTGGTGCGGGCTGGCCGGGCTCAGCAACTCGTTCGTGTCCCGCTGCCCGCTCACTCTCCGCCACCCGCCTCCGTCCCCTCCCCTGGACAAAACCTCCACCCCAAACTCGGGGCAGAAGAACTGTGTAGAGAGGTGATGTGGGCTGAGGGTGGTTTTTGCATCCTAAAGTCGATAGAGAGGTGGGAAAAGAAAAGTGTTTCTTAATATTTTATTCCGGAACCGTGTTTTGGTTACACTATTGGGGCTACTGGGAAAGGAGTCCTCCACCCACCTGCACCCCGAAACAGTAGGGAGAGGTACCTTGTCTGCGTCTTAAACAGATTAATAATTACTTAAGATTCGGGGGCGTGGGGTGGGAGTCAGGAGTGCTGGATTGTGTAAGCGTCTCTGTGTGTCTGCTAAAGAGACAATGTCTGGTGTGTCTTTGGAGATAGGGCGACTTATTTTCGTAGTACGAAGAAGTGTTGAAAATTATTTGGGGGGGTGTGTGTGTGCCCGGGGTGGGGGGGGGACTCCGCTGAAAGGCGCTGCTTGTGTTTTTCTTCTACTCCACCCTGTTCTGTCTTGCGTTTGCCTGAAAGCCGGTCTGTAAGAGCGAAGAAGCATTGGGTGAGTGAAGGGGAAAATGCAGTTGGCATTAGAGATACTACACTACGTAAAGTTAGTTGAAAGGTATAAAGTGATTGCTGTTTTCATTTACGCTGAAGCTTTAAGAAAAACCTCACGTATCATACAGGCTAGAGTGATGTGACTAATTCATTTCCCTGGGATTCTGCAGTTACAGAAACCTCATTCCCTCTTCCTTCCTCCCTCCTTTTCCTTCCTTCCTTTATTGGCGTAGAACATTTCTCTTCTTGATGAACGTAATATACCTCCTGTTCCTTTTAATTTAGTCTGTGCTAATGTAGTTGTGCTTTTTGTGGTTTTACTATAAAATACATCATTAGATGTGTCTGTTGTTATTTTGCTTTTATGCCGCAAGTCACTATCACTTCAGGAATGCAATGCTTTCCATTAAACTTATTTTAAAATTGTACAACTAAGTCGCTAGATCCAGTTGAATTATAAGTCAAGCTTGGAAAATTTGAATTCTCATTTTTTTCCAATTTTCAGTTAGAATTAAAAAGGGAAGAGGATTGCATCTTGTTTCTCACAGTCTTGAATATTTAATAACGTTATACTAGGAGAATTTAAGATCACGTATTCTGTACTTTCTTCAGTGTGAAATATAAGTTTTTCAGTAACCCTTCTGTGGCAGTTTTTTAATGTAATGGACTTTTAATTTGGCGTAAGTTCTATTTGGACTGCTAAGAATTTAATATATTTACATTTTGGCTTCAAACTTAACATTTCTTGAATTTGCCACCTATCAGTAAGGAACCGGCAGATTCTATAAAAACTGAAAGCCACATAGATACAGTATGCAGTGTTTTAGTATATTTTATAACCTTTCATTTGAAATTTCTGCTGTGGGTCATTCATACAGATAAAGGGACGATAAGCGTGAGGTAGCATATATATTTTGGTTGACCTGAATAGAAAAAAAATTGATATGTCTTCTAAATCTCACATTTAGAATATAGGCTATGTTGATCCAAAGCTGAACCTTTAGTTTGTTACAGACCAGATTTTCAGAATTACTTGTTTTAAGCTTGTATTCTAACCTGAAACATTACTTTGCAAAAACTGGAGGAAAATCCTGTGTAACTAAATAATATGGTGTTTTGTTTTTCTGAAACATGTTCTGCTAGTTATAGAACTTCAAAATATTTAATAATTATTTTAGAAATAAAAAACTGAAATGTTTGTAAGAGCTGGAAGAATAAGAGTATTTTTTCTTCCACTACCTTTACCTCAGATTTTCCTTTTTTTAAAAATAGAAATATAAAGTTTTTTACTGGGAAAGCATTCATTAAACTTTTTCTGACCAGTAGTGGGGTCAAAATCATTTTATATAAACCAAATATATTCCTTGCATTCCTTGGGATGATTCTGTTGCATTTTAAGCACTGGGCATTAAAATGATGTAAAGCCTTTACTGCAGGTTAAAGCATAAAACGTTCTCAGCATGTGAAAGTCATATGGTTTACAAAAAAGTAGAAAACCAGGCGGCACTGGTGCTTCTACAGCTTAAAATTTCAGCCCATATATGTGCAAGACATATTTATTTTAATGTGATCACTTCTAAACATGTCGCTTGTGCTATGATAAGTTGAAAATGTAAACTTTTAAACCAGTGTTACTAGTTTAGCATCCTGCATGTGGTGAACATTATTTGTGGTCTCTCAAGTGCGTACTTTATAGAATGCCTTTAGTGAGGCTTCGTTTTTACTGCTGTGTGAACAGATTTGTCTTTTATCCCAAACATTTAGTTAAAACATCACTGATAGAAACTTACTATTGGTAATACCTGTCCGTATTGATGGGTTATAAAATACATTGCAACAAATCTCTCATTGTTTCATTATTAAAAAAATAGACGTTTATGGCAATTTTTGTGGCAGACATTGATTGGAATTCCATTGTTTCAGTAGATGTTGAATATATTGGGAATATTCATACTTAATATGTTCATTTTGAGTCTCCTGTACATTAGATTCAGTCCATCCCTCTTGAATGTTTCAGACAGCTGCTTTGTTTCTTATTAAGGCACGTTCATGTTTTTTGTCCATTTCATTGCAGATCTTCTGTTTTTTTTTTTATGCAGCTCTTTAAAATTGAGTTGTTTCTTTTGGGAATTAAAAATTTATTGCAGAATGTTATTTGTCATAAATGAAAGTTGGTATACTACCAACTGAACATTTATAGATGAATGTCAAACTGCTCACTGAAATATGTTGGTTTTGTTTTGTGAACCTGTTTTATTTTAGTTTTTTGGCTTCCGGAATAAATTTTATAGCTGATCTTTCTAATCGTTGGCTAGATTTTTCTGTTAATGGTTGGCTTTTGCTTCTAACTTGAGTAGAATTTTAATTTATTAAAAAAATTGTTATGAGTGGAAAGCACAGCTTGTCTATAGTGTCATCATACGTACATCCACTCAAGCATAAAGTACTTTTATATTTGTGTATATATGAAATTGGTATATATGTATCAGACATGTGGTCCATAAAAAAGAATCTGACAGCAAATAGCAGGGGATGCAGGACTTTGGCTCAAACTAGAAATCAATGAGTAACTACCACCACATCCTGTTCACTTTATAGAAGCTATGGAGATTTTTCAGAATCACTAAAACCATTATTTTAACAGGGTTTGCTAAATGAAAGCTATCAATATTGAATTTTTTCTCAAAATAGTATTAAGTAATATGTGACTTGGATTCCTAGGTACAGCTATCCCCCAGATGGCCCTGAATATAGGACGCATCATAGGTGCAGAATAAACATTTTCTGTGTTTATTTGATGTAAAAGTTTTAGAGTCTTTTAAAATTTAATTCAGTGTTTTACATAACTTACTTTCCTTAACTTTGAATGAAGCAAGCTGGAAGTTTACTATAGCGTTGTCTTGAGCCCTTTCGAAGACCATTCAGTTACTGGAAGGGCCCTCGCCTTAGCATATCTTCCCCTCACGGTGGTAATGAGGGTGAAGTTACAGGAAATTTCTCTAATGGTTATTATAATCATAATGCAGTATTTTGCAGATCTTTGGACTATAAAGACAGTTTTGTTTTTTTTTAACGTTTACAAACAAAAGAACTGATCAATTATTTTCAATTTTTTCACTCCTAAAACTGAACGCACCAGACTCCTTCCTTTTGAGTGATAAAATGGTTCTAATCCACTCAAAGGACATTTAGTCTTTTTTTAAAACTTATAGTGCTGATTATGATAAAAATATTTACTAATTTCCATTAACTGTCTAGCAGCTTCTGGGTTTATCTCCTGTCCAGTGATGGTAGGCATGTGGTGTACTGAAAACTTGTAATAGTTCTTATTACTGTATCTGTATTAAGCGATTAGTATGGAGTTGCCAAGGGTCAATAATTTAAATGTATATAGTCACAGTTTTTATAGAGGGTAAGTCAAATGCTGTGAGTACTGCTGAAATGAGGATGACCTAAGACTGAACCTGTCTGGTTTAAGATTTTGATAATGGTAGTAGTATTGTTGAAACATGAAACTGTTGGCTTGGACATAATCAGTCAAGCCTTGAAATTGTCCTCAACCCCCCATATGGTCATGAAGTCACGTTGATTTTTCACTCTGTATATACAGACTTCTTTTCATTCTATTGCTGTTAACTTTAATTTAGGCCTTCGTCATTTCTGGCTTACTATCTCAGTCTCTTAACTAATCTTCTTGCTTACAGTTTTTTTCATTAATTATTCTACACCTGGGGTATAAGAATACACCTGGGTAAAGCTTTTTTCATTAATTATTCTATACCTGTGGGGTATCTTGCCAAAATAAAATGTGAGTTTGATTGTCAGACATACTTTGCCTGTAATCCTTCAGAACTGGCTGCCC